AGTGACCAAAGGAAGCAAATAGAGAAAGGAAGGAGTGAGAGCAATTAATAATGAAATGTTTACGGATTGAATTGCAGCTATTTTATATGAAATTGAAATAACTGATAAAGCTCAGGGATGCAGATTGAATTTTTACCCAAAGATTTATTCATATGCAAATATCTAGTCAGCTTGTTTATAAGTCTTCCTTCTTTTTATTTTTATTATTATTACTTTTTATTTTTTTTTAGTAAAAAGTATGTTTATACGTTGAACATGCTCAAGTGGGTTTTTTTTTTGTTTTTTTTTTTGATTATTTATAATTAATTCGTTTTTCGAAACAAAAGGGACTAATTTATAATTTACTCGATGAAACTCACTCTGTTTGAGTGGTTGGAAGCCATTTAGCATTGGTCCGACTGCAGTGGCTTTAAGTAGACTCAGCCCATTCGGGCATCGTTCGGGGAAAATTGTGAGATCCAGTACAATAAAATAGAGAATTTCTCGCATGGACTAGGTCCAGTTGTTAATGGCAGCTTCTCTTAGGCATTTTCTTCGTCTTCCTTTTCTTGTCCTTCTGTCAGCAACTGTTCGACAAATGTCCTAACGAGTAAACGACACTAGATCATTATATTTCTCTCAACATGGGCACAATTCCGAATGCAGACACGGAAAGGAATAGCAACTATACATACCCTTCATGAAAGGTAAGAAACACCGATCCTTGGCTTCCTTACATTTCATGTGTTCTTTTTATTATTGGGAAAGATATACTGCAGATATAGAAGAAGTGTTAGCTAGTTCAACTCCGTCAACTAGAACAACTTTTAGTGTAATGGAAGACATTCCTGAAAAAGTGCAACTGAGTGCTTCTTACCATAGCTAGATTATCGAACTTTATTTCCCGGGTACATAATTGTTTCTAGAAAGCATGGTAGCTTCATAACTATACAATGGCAAACAATAAAAGGACTTGGAAGTATCTATAGCTTCTTATAATGTAAACACCAATGGTGGGCAATGGCAATTCATCTTGCCTCTAACAGCGAAATGGAGCATTCGTTAGCTGAATAAGGCTTTCTCTGGCTTGATGAATAAGTTGCTTCCATCAGATCCCTTTCAGTGAAAAAGCCTGGCAGTTTAGGCTGAGGCAATGCATCTTCATTACCCAACATCAAAACCACATATGACATGCTTGGCCTATCTTCTGGAATTTCTTGCACACACAATAAACCCACGTGAATCAAACGGAGAGCTTCAGATAACTTGCATGTTTCGATTATTGATTCTGCAACCAGTTCCAAAGGCCTGCGTTCTGCGAATAGCCTCCAAGCCTGATAAAATGAAACTATGTTGTTACAAAGAGATTTGGTATCTAGAAATAATAAAATGATACAACTCTGATGACACTTACATGCCCAAGAAGGTTGAGGTGATGATCCGGATGACAGAATCCTCGATTCCTGTTCCCACTCACTATCTCTAGCACCAATACTCCAAAGCTGTAGACGTCTGACTTTGTTGAGTAGAGTCCATCAACTGCGTACTCTGGGGATATGTAGCCACTGCAAATGCGCATAAAATGTTACGTAGAATTTGATATCTAAATAAGCAGCTGGAGACACTTACTATGTTCCCGCCACTTTGTTTGTGTTGGCTTCAGTTTCATTTCCTCCAAAACTTCTAGCCAAGCCAAAGTCTGAAATTTTTGGGTTCATTTCATAATCCAATAAAATATTGTCGGCTTTCAGATCTCTATGAATTACTCTTAGTCTTGAATCTTGGTGTAGATAAAGTAGACCACGAGCAATCCCGTTGATGATGTTGTAGCGCTTAGGCCAATCTAGTAGCAAGCTTTGTGTTTCATCTGCTCAATTTTTTGCCCAAGTCAACCCTTATTGGTTCTCATCAGATACATAAATTATATGGAAGAACAAGAATAAAGGTGATGATAACTAACATTTTATGAATTATCATCAGTTACAACTACTATTAGTCTATTAGATATCGTGGCGTGTGTGGTAGTGAAAGTGGGGAAAACTCTTCCCTACCATGTCATCTTCCCAAAGCATGAGCCACACAGAATTGGTTTTTGTGTTTGTTTAATGACAACAAAAACGTATAAACAATTGAATTGTGTAGGGTTTGAGGGATCCTTACCAAAAATAAAGAAGTTCAAGCTTCTGTTAGGCAAGAACTCATAGATCAACATACTTTCATCGCCTTCAATGCAGCATCCAAGAAGCTTCACTAGATTCCGGTGCTGAAGTTTCACAATATGTTTGACTTCATTTTTGAACTCATCAAGTCCTTGTCTTGAATTCTCTGAGAGTCTCTTAACAGCTATTTCTCGCCCATCTTTCAATGTTCCCTGTAGAAAATCACTCAATATGACAAGAAAATCATACGTTGTCCTGTGTAAAATCAGAGCCCTGGTTTGAACACTCTCCTAATGGTCATTGCTAATTGTTCTAATGTTCCAGGAGTTTGTGTTATGAAATTGCTTTGAAGGTTTATTGATTAGTACCTTATAAACTGGTCCAAAACCCCCTTCTCCCAGCTTATTGTTAAATGAAAAATTATTGGTTGCAAGAGCCAATGTTTCCAAATCAAACAATGGTAAATCAAGATCTTCTTTCCCAGGATTGTTCTTTGAACTCCTCTCGATAGTACCTGTGGCTTTTCCTGCAAGCAGAACTGCTATGATTAAAAGGAAACAGGGGATCTCTGTTTTCTGTTGACTCATAGTAAATGAGCTCTTAAACAAGTTGTGGCTGTACCTTGCTTTACTATAAGCAAATTGGAAAATAAACTAAACTTTCCATCTGAGGGGACTATTTTATTTTTTATTATTTTTGAGAGGTTGGGGATAGGAATGCTAAGAATTTCATGACCTTGAGAACTTACCCGTTTTCTGCTGCTGCTTTTTCCAAATATACCAGAACAAGGCTAGGACGAGGAATAGAATCACTGTAGACGACAAAGTGCTCACTATGATCCTCTTCTTCACTTTGGATTTAGCATTAACCTTCGCACCATCACCATTTTCTACGTCCAATGCAGAGAAAAACTGAAGTTAAAAGACAGTGATTGGACATGCCAATAATTATTACGGGTGGAAAATATTCATTAGCTTATGATAATTTCACCATTGTACTTCCACTACATTTATCTACTCATACAACATAAAACAACACTGCTAACTGATATATTATACGATGCATGTAAGCTTATGATACAAATGCAATGTACACAGCGCATCTTATTATAAGATGTTTTATGCAACCAGGATATGATGAAGAATTAGATGAAGTTACAATTCCTATTATCTTGCATTTTATCTCCCATCTTAGTTAGCTTTACATTTCCAGATGTTAACTTCATACCTAGTTCTGAAGCTGCCATCCTTAAATAAATGTCTGGTTCATTGTCAGCGAAAATTCTGGTATCAATCAGGTCACCAAACCAGAGCAAGCACCCACTTCCTCCATTCCTTATGTCCAAATTTGAAAATGCTGTACAGCTGCAGTTCTTCAAGCATGTGTTCCTGCATTCCTCGAGATTCATACTCTTGTTAAACCATGATGTTTTAGTCTCAGGCAACTTCACACCAGAGAGCGTTCGAAACCTATCTCCAGAACAATTTAGTGGAGTCTTTCTAAGGCAACCACTGGACCAATCCATCATGTCCCAATCTCTTCGAACTTTTGGCACAAATCCATTCAAACAATTACACACCGGTGAGTTGTCAATATTACAGATACCATTTGCACCACATAGTGCATAACGTTCACAATTATCTCTATTTACCGTAAGATAAAGCAACCAGCTTTGTGTCCGAGGAATCCATTTAAAGCGCTGGATATCATCGTTTTGAGTTACCACGAGCCTTGTAATCATCAAGCTATTGAGAACATGATATCGGTAAAATATCTCCTCCTCATTAAAAACAAATTCAAACGTGTACATGGGATTTGGTTTCAAATGAGGCGTACCACTAAACCGCAGACCGTTCCACGGTCCAGACCGGTGCTTGACAATTGAATTCTCCATCACAAGTATCTCAGGATATCCATAAGGAACAAGGATTTCGGAAACGTTACCTCTTGAAGGATCATCCGGTGACTTCCACGATGTAATGTACCATTCCATGCCTGTTCTTCTATTCCGTCCTAGCTTCATCTCTGGCAATAATGTATTAGTTGGATGTTCAAAACTCTGCCAGAAGGGATTTACCAGGTTATTATCACCTCCATCCCTCACAACAAGGTTTCCTGAATCCAAAAGCTGCGCAACTGCATATCTTGCTGGTGTTGACTTGATGGAAGACCAACTTGCTGGTGTTGACGTGATGGAAGACCAAATTACACTCCCACTACGGTTGAGAAGGACAAGAATTCCTTCATGTGTAAGCCGTAGAACGCCTGATGAATCCTTAAGTGAAGTCTCTCTGTTGGCAACCCAAACAGGAGTCAGGACAGATATTTTGCCATACCACATCCCCAAGTATCTGCTTTCAGAGTTGCCTGGGCTGAAAAAACCTAATACGTAGTTTCCATATGCTGAAGTTAGGGTATCACCATCTCTAAGGGACTGAGTTGTGTTTATGGTGTCAATAGCGGTGGCTGTTTCTATAATCAGCAACAAAGAGGAGCAAAAAAGAAGTACGGAGATGTAATCCATAGGCACTCTCATCATCTTGTTTTTTTTCCTGTAGCGCACTTTGTTATTTTACATGGATACTACAATTGGTTTTCCCGGAGAGCTTGTTGGATTTATTTGTAGACGACAATGACATGAAAAATTGATAGTCTAGTTAAGTTGAGAGAGAACAACTCTGGAGGTAGTAGTGACTGTCATTTATGGAGTGCCATGGACCTTAAAGACTTTAAGCACTTAAGTCCAAAAGCTTAATGGTTTAGTCAAATCGTTTATTTTTGACATTGAATTACGACCATAGAATTTTTAAGTATCCCTTTCATTGCTTGACTTCACGGGATTAATGTCGGCAATATTTGTTCTCATTTGTTATGGTATTCTAAGATGACGGTCCACAATATTTGATTCTCTACGCTAACTACAGGAACAAAACAATCATAGGAAACAGTTGCTAAGATAGAATCCCTACAATGATTTGCCCTAGTTGCTTGTTTGAACTGCCAAGCCTCAATTGACTCAATTCCTTTGGGGATATGCTCTAAATTTACGTCGTCCATTTCCAGATCATTGCAGATAAAATTTACTTCATTCGCCCACCCATTGCTTCTTTTCTTGAAGGCAGCTTAAATAGGTTCGAATTGGAGAATAATAAAATTGTTCATAACGGTCATGAGTTCGAATTTCATCACTGGTGAGTGAGTAAGTCTATACAAAGTTCAAGCTTAAAAAAAATTTATTTGAGCAATTGTGATAAAAATAATGTAAAACTATTTATAAAACTTCACCCGATGGCTTAATTTTTTAAGGTGAGATGGTTTTTAACAGCTTGGTACCTGTTTTCTTCTAAATATTCATCCATCATCATGCTGCTACTTTCAACCGGAGTAAAATTTAGACTGGAATATTTGTGACTTAGATTAGGTATCTTTTTTCTTATTGGACTTAACTGCTTTAGTATTCTACTAGAAGAAGAAAAGGAAGCCATGATATTCTCATAATTTTTCTTACACTGAACATGGTTCATTCCATGAGATGCAGTAAAAGCCATCGATTCTGCTGGGAGAGGAATTTTCAACATAGCTGCATACGCTGTTTCAAGGAAAAATCTGACATGAAATTGACAGGCATTGAAAGAAAGCTGATGGAAATCACAGCACTAATATTCTTCCGTTGACTCCCTGTCTGACATTTTGACTAGGTTAAAGAAGACGGTCCCACCTTTGACCTCAGCACAGAAACTTGCCGTTCTTTCCCTTAATGAACTAGCAGCCATCGGAGCAAAGGAACTTGCTCCTTTACTCTGTCTCAAAGCAATGGCATTCGGATCTACTCTCAATAAACCTGTGTACCTTAAAAGAGTATATGGAGGTAATAACCCGAACTTTCATTTTCCTAATTTTCTTATTCTTCATGATGTTTTCCTTTTCTTTCTCAAATTTTCCGGAAGAGATATGAACCTGATCCTGAATTTTTTTGCATATTTGTCTAGTTTGTAATCTTGATATTTCTAGAAGAACTTGATTAACATCTGGTCTAGTCTTTTATTGGCTTTCTGTGAATAAACTTTTAGAGACTGATTTGATGAATTTAAAGATATAAATGTTGAAGTCCCATTAAAGTCATCTATATATCTGCACATAACAAAAATTTTGAAGTGAGCTATGGAACTAAAAACACATTGTAAAAGTCAGAATGAAACTCCTGTACAATCTTCCCTCTTTATTAGAAAGAGCAATTTCTAGTGGTGAAACATTTTATTGCTGTTAATAAGTAAACAGGTATTCCATAGACTATCATAGTATCACTTTGGACATAAACCTAACAATTACCAAAAGCGCTAGGAGAGGTTATATCCCCACTTTCGCAGAAACAAACTGGCATAGAAAGAACAGTGGTTTCTAAGAACATAAGATTGCAACTTGCAAGCCTCAAGGAATGAAAACAAAAAACAAAAAACTGTTTGTTTTGGCTGTCGCAATGTGCCTTCACCACACAACATTAGTACTACAGCTTCTATGAAACTCGATTAAATTCATGAAGACGAAACAAAATATATCAACGCAGAAAATGATCTATCTTGCCTGTAATAATGTAATCGAGCATTTGTTTGCTGAATATGCTTTGCTCTCGCTCGTTGAACTTGCTTCAGTTGGATCCCTTTCAATAAAAAAACCTGGATGTTTAGGCTGAGGCAATGCATCTCCATTACCCAACATCAAAACCACATATGACATGTTCGGCCTATCCTCTCGATTTTCTTGAACACAGAGTAGAGCCATATGAATTGAACGTAGCACTTCAGATGGATTGCATGCTTCGACTATTGATTGCGTAACCATTTCCATGGGCCTCCCTTCTAGGAACAGTTACCAAGCCTGATAAACAACACCATGTTACTGTAACTGACAGATTAGGTATCTAGAAGCAATAAATTTTTTCCATTTACGCTATGTTCCCTAGACTCTGAGATCCAAATCCAAACAGGGGTGCTTGTCTGACAAGCTTAACCTTGTCAGATTTGATTTCGTATCAATATTTCTTCGATTCTTTTGTGGATTAAAGCATAGCAGTAAACATTTACAAGCATCTGGAACCTGACACAGGTACTGCAGAGTAAAGAGAAACAATCCAAGACTCGAATTAAGATAGTTTTGGCACTTACAGCCCTAAAAGGTTGAGGTTGTGATTTGGATGACTGAACCCTCTGTTCTTCTTCCCACTTACTATCTCTAGCATCAATACACCAAAGCTGAACACATCAGATTTTACGGAGTAGAGCCCATCAATTGCGTACTCTGGGGATATGTAGCCACTTCATGTATTCAAAGAATGTTAAAGTTGCATTTGCGGAAAATGAAGATAAAATCACACTATGATGAAGGAGACACTTACTATCTTCCAACCACTTTATTAGTATTGGCTTCAATTTCATTTCCTCCAAAACTTCTAGCCAGGCCACAGTCTGAAATTTTTGGGTTCAGTTCATAATCCAGTAAAATATTGCTGGCTTTCAGATCTCTATGAATTACTCTTAGTCTTGAGTCTTGATGAGGATAAAGAAGTCCACGAGCAATTCCATTGATGATGTTGTAGCGTGTAGGCCAATCTAGTAGCATGTCCTGTGTTTCATCTGCACAATTTTTCACGAAGTCAGTCCATTCCGGTACTTAATTTTAGGTATTTGCTCAAAGCATTATTCACACAGAATTGGTTTCAGTATCTATACAATGTCAAGGATAAATAAGTACAATAATTGGAATAGGTTTGTGTAGGTTTTGAGAGATTCATACTGAAAATAAAGAAGTCCAAACTTTTGTTTGGCAAAAACTCATAGATTAACATCTTTTCATCTCCTTCAACGCAGCATCCTAGAAGCTTCACTAGGTTTCGGTGCTGAAATTTTGCAATATACTCGAATTCAGTTTTGAACTCGTCAATTCCTTGTCTCGAATTCTTAGAAAGCCTCTTCATAGCAATTTCTTGTCCATCTGCTAATGTTCCCTGCAAATGATCACCTGCTACCATTAGTAAATCATACTTTGTCTCGTGAAAGTTCAGAATCCTGATACGATGTTGCAAACTACTTGCATCTGCTGGAAATCTTTCCAAACACTCATTTTTTTTCAGTCCTGTGGTGACAGGAGTCCATATCATGAATTCGGAAGTCATCAAGGTATTGCATGATTGTTTACAGATTAATACCTTGTAAACTGGTCCATAACCCCCTTCTCCGAGTTTATTGCCAGCTGAAAAGTTATTTGTTGCACAAGCCAAGGCATCCAAATCAAACAACGGTAATTCAAGATCTTCCTTTTTGTGCTTGTTATTTGACCTTCTTTCCAAAGCACCAGTTTTTACTTTTCCTGCAAGCAAATGGTATCTAAATAAAAAACATCTCTATTTTCCGTTATAAATTATACTTCATTTTCTGAAAAAGGGAAATTTAACAATTTGTGAGCACCGTTAGATTACTCAAAATCAAATTTTCTATAAGTTAAATATCCTCTCTGTAAATCGAGGGATGGGGTGATTGGAATGGGTGGATGTCCATGCTGTGAGAATAACATACCCTTTTTTCTGCTGCTTCTTTCTCCAAACATACAAGACCAAAACTAGGCCAAGGAAAAGAATTCCTGTAGACAAAGTGCTTATTATGATCCTCTTTTTCACATTGGATTTATCGCTGATCTTTGCACTATCACCATCATCTACACCGTGACAGAGAAATACTGGAGTTAAAACACAATAACAGGAAATGTAAATGGGCATTGAATTTATGTTATCTAGGCAGGAATCAGTCGATCATGTTAGAAAGTAATACATTCATAAATTATTATGCATCATGTCATATGATGTTTTGTAAAACCTTGGTAGGAGTACTAGAAACAAGAGGAGGAAGAAAAAATATGCTATTAATGCATTTGATTTCCATTTTAGCTTTTGAACAAATCATTTAGGCAGTTAATGTAGTCAATTGATAACTCACTACAAGTAACACTTACTGATTTTTCTAGTCTGTGGATAAACTCATACCTAGTTCTGATGCAGCCATCCGTATATAAATCTGTTGCTCATTTTCAACAAATACCCTCATATCAATCAGGTCACCAAACCAGAGCAAGCACCCACTTCCTCCATTCCTGATGTCCAAATTTGAATATGCTGTACAGCTGCAGTTCTTCAAGCACGTGTTCTTGCACGTCTCAAGATTCATACTCGTGTTAAACCAAGATGATTTTGTCTCAGGCATCTTAACTTCAGAGAGCTTTCGGAACCCATCTACAGAACAATTCAGTGGAGTCCTTCTAATGCAACCATTTGACCAGTCTTTCGGAAATTTTGGTACAAATCCTTGCAAGCAATCACACACTGGAGAGTTGTGAATATTACAGAAACCATATGCACCACATAGTGCATATCGATCACAATTATCTGTATTTGCTGTTTCGTAGAGCAACCAACTTTGTGTTTGCTCAATCCATGCGAGACTCGGGATATCACCGTTCTGATTTGTCATGAACCTCCAATACATCGACTTATCAACAAGCCTTTCTCTGTAAAATATCTCCTTCTCATTGAAAACAAATTCAAATTTGTTTATGGGAATTGGTTTTAAGTTAGGTATACCACTGAACCGCAGACCATCCCATGGTCCTGATTGCTACTTCACTTTCGAACCTTCCATCAAAACTATCTCAGGATATCCAGAAGGAACAAGTATACATGTAAAGTTACCTCTGGAAGGATCATCGGGTGACTTCCATGATGTCATGGCCCAATCCATCCCTGTTATTCTATTCCTTCCAAGCTTCATGCCTGGCAAAATTGTATCAGTTGGGTTTTCAAAACTCTGCCATAAGGAATTTTCCAGGTTGTTATCACCCTCCTCTTTCACAACAAGGTTTCCTGAATCCAAAAGTTGAGCAGTTGGATTAGATGCAGGTCTCGACGAGTTGGAAGACCAAACTATGCTCCCATTCTGATTGAGAATGACAAGAATTCCCCTGTCCGTCAGCCTTAAAACACCTGATCAATCACTAAGGGGTGTTTCTCTGTTTGCAACCCAAACTACAGTCTTGACTGGTATTTTGCCATACCATATCCCTACGTATCGTTTCTTGGATTTGCCTGGGCTAAAAAATCCTAATACAAAGGTTCCCTGAGCTGAAACAATGGTATCACCATCTGTAATGGGCTGAGTTGTGTTTATGGTGTCAATAGCTGTGGATGTTTGTACAGTAATAAGCAATAAAGAGGAGTGAAAAAACAGAATAGGAAAACAATATTCCGTCGGTATTCTCATTGTTTCTTTTTGTTTTAGCTCCCCTGAAAATTTTCATGCTAAAAACTGCATATTTAAGGCACAACTGGCTGCTGCGAGCAGCAGTCCAGTTAGATGCAACGTACCTTTGGCATTTTTCAAGACGAAGACGCAAACAACCTCAATAAAAGACAGAAAAACTGCTGACTTCCTAACGTGATGACGGCGATGGTAGACTACTTTTGCTAATAAGTTTTTCCTTTCCCTGTAGAATAGCTTATCTATCTATATTTTTTTTAACTTGCGTATCCAAAACTTATTACAAAATTAATTTATTAAAATTTAAATTCATAATTTTTTATTTTAAAAAATCATTATCATAAGGATACAAGCTCTTCTATGCTAATCTTGCATTCATTCTACATGGAACAGTTGGATGATACTTTTTTATTATTTACAACAGTAATTTCGGCATGTGAATTAAAATATATAATTAAATTTCTCAAGCTTGTTCGATGAACAATGTAAAAAAATTGGCATTTTAATAAAGATTTTTTTAAGCAAACAAATTAACAGAATATTATACATATTTTACTATCCACTATAATAAATCAGAATAAGATTCGGAAAATAAAATACCAAAGCCATACTGTTAGAAAGCATATTCGAATACGATTATCATAAATAACTAAATAAATAAAGAAGAAAGTAAATATGATGCCTTTTTTGTTTTAGATTAAATATGATTGCTCTTACTTACTTTATAGTCGCATATATTTGTAGTGGTAGTGGTTACCATACATATACAACTTTTTTTATTTTTTATTTTTTGCGGTGACTAATATTGACTAAATACAACTATAATATATTTATGGGGGAACACGTTTTATTATATACCTTCATTTCAACAGCTGTGTTCGAAATCGTAAATTACAGACTGTGAAGAATTTTTGGTACAAGACTATAGCAAAAAAATAATGACTCGGGATCATGAAAAGTGAAGAAGACAAATTCTGATAAGGATCAAACATGTTGATATATAGAAAATCACAACAGGAGGGGAAAAAAACGAAAAAACTAGCTATAACACGAACATTATAGTTTAACAGAGTAAATTATAAATTAGTCTTTTTTATTTTGAGAAACTAATTAATTAATCTTTTTTCGTTTTAAAAACTAATTATTTAACTATTTACATTTAAATGTCATTAATAAATCAATTTTTTATTAATTTTTTATTAAATTAGTGATTTTTTATTAAATTTTCTCTTTTTTTATGTTTTATTTTTCTCTTTTATCCACTCTCTTTCTCCCTCTTCAATAAAAAATAAAAGAAATGATAATTTAAAAATAAAAATTACTAATCTAACAAAAAAAACTAATGAAATAACTAAGTTGTTAATGAAATTAAAACATAAAAGAACAAATCATTAGTTTTTTTTATAAAAAAAATAATTAATTAGTTTTTCTAAATAAGAGGGATTAATTTATAATTTAAACTATAGTAACACCCAAAAAAAAAAAAAAAAACCCATTTTACTTCAAATTTGAATTACGTCAAACAAACGTAATCTAAAA